TCTACCTGTCTCTCTACCTCTCTCTCTCTCTACCTGTCTCTCTACCTGTCTCTCGCTACCTGTCTGTCTCTCTCTCTCTACCTCGCTACCTGTCTGTCTCTCTCTCTCTACCTCTCTACCTGTCTGTCTCTCTCTCTCTACCTCTCTACCTGTCTGTCTCTCTCTCTCTACCTCTCTACCTGTCTGTCTCTCACTCTACCTCTCTCTCTGTCTCTCTCTCTCTCTGTCTCTCTACCTGTCTGTCTCTCTGCAGTGACTTCCTGTCTGAGTTGAGCGATGACTCCGTCCTCTTGCTGCTTAACGAGGCCGTCGGCCAATTGACCGTCAGCTGTGACTCTTCGGTGGGCGGGGCCTCCATCAGACTGATCCTCCTCATGGCCAGACAGCAGGAGCTCCGGGTCCAGCCCCTCCTCCTCAGCTTCAGAGGTCACACGTGTTGAGATATATTTTTTAATAACAGTTGAATGATTATTGGGTCTCAAATCCTGAGAGGTCAGAGGTCACTGTGTCTCTGCAGCTCTGGACATTCTATTGGACAAAGACTGGAGGGGGCGGGGCTTTGACCAGGAAGTGGATCAGCTGATCGCCCTCATCCAATCTGACACAAGGAGGCGTCCACAGGTCGGTCTGTCTGTCTGTCTGTGTCTTTGGCTGTCTGTCTGACTCTCTGTCTGTCTGTCCTCCTCCGTCTCTGACCCCCTCCCCCCCCATGTGTAGGTGTGTACTGAGCGCGTGCGGGCGGCGTGTGTGATCCAGGCGGTCTGGAGGTCGTATCAGACCAGACGGAGAATGAAGAGTCTGAACAGAGCAGTCAGCATGCTGCAGAGGACATACCGGTAGCTGTCTGTCTGTCTGTCTCCTAATTGATTAATTGATTAATTAAAACCTAATTAAAGTACTAATTGTTTCATCTGTATTTGTAGAAACTGTTGGAGTTTGATTCATAACGAAACATCAGATTTTATAAACCAAAGTACCACAAACGTGTACTTACAGTAAACGTGTACTTAAGTACTACAAACGTGTACTTAAGTACTACAAACATGTACTTATAGTAAACATGTACTTAAGTACTACAAACTTGTACTCACAGTAAACATGTACTTAAGTACTACAAACTTGTACTTAGGTACTACAAACATGTACTTACAGTAAACGTGTACTTAAGTACTACAAACTTGTACTTACAGTAAACGTGTACTTAAGTACTACAAACGTGTACTAACAGTAAACGTGTTCTTAGGTACTTACAGTAAACGTGTACTTAAGTACTACAAACTTGTACTTAGGTACTTACAGTAAAGGTGTGTTTAAGTACTTAGAGTACATGTGTCTCAGGTGTCAGAGGAGGAGGAGGCAGCAGCAGCAGCAGCAGAAGGAGGCGCAGCGATGGGAGGAGGAGTTGAAGTATCAGGTGAGAGTAATACTGCAGTCTGAGTACTCTTAGTGCACTGATGGAATTATTGTAGTAATGTGTGTAGTAATGTGTGTGTGTGTGTTTTAGGTGTGTGTGAGGCGTCAGCAGGCGAGGAGGGAGTTCCACCAGAAACAGAGAACACTGCTGCAGCTACTTCCTGCTGGTACACACACACCTACACACACACACCTACACACACACCTACACACACACCTACACACACACACATACACACAGACACTAATAAATGTACAGAGTTTGGTTGTTGGCTCAACTAAAATTTGTCATTTGTTAGATTTTGGATTCACATGACATCAGGTGTGTGTGTGTGTGTGTGCGTGTGCGTGTGCGTGTGTAGACCAGGTGCAGCCGTACCTGCAGGAGTGTGAGCGTCAGGCGGCCGTGTTGATCCAGAGCTTCTGGAGAGGCTTCAGAGAGAGACGACGCTACAACAACAACACACTGAGACACACACACACGAGGCAGCAGGCCGCCAGGACGCTGCAGAGAGCGGTACACACACACACAGACTTGTCTTTCTGTACTTGTGAGGACCCTCATTGCACACAATGCAGTTCCTCAAATGGCCACAAGAGGCTCCAACAGAAGACCATGTTTAAAACGAAGTTTACAGCAGAAACGAAGAACTTTACAGCGTGTTTATGACAACTGTTTATACAACTTACACGTTTAAATTATATTAATGTCTAAAGTGAGGTATAATTGAGGGGCGTGGCCACTTTCAGTGACAGCATTCGGTTGTACTAAAATACATACATTTTGTTGATTGCATTTTTTCTCACTACACACACACGTCTTCAGGTGCGTCGCTTTCTGCAGAGACGACGAGCGACGCTGGTCCCGCCCACCACGTCTTTCTGGATTGGTCAGAACGGCTTGACGGAGAGCCGGAGGGCAGAGCTGAAGAGACAGGTGGAGGAGCACATCTCTCGACATCCTGTAAGACATTTTAACTCCTTAAAGATGTCAACAAACAATCAGCAGATATATTACCCACAATGCTTTGTGTACACAGTCGTCCCGCGTGTCCCGTCAGGAGTGCGAGCGTCTCCACGAGGAGGTGCAGCTGCTGCTGCTGTCGGAGCTGGAGAGAGGAGGAGACCGGAGGAGGGAGGAGCAGACGGTGGAGGCTCTGCTGGCTCACACACACACACAGCTGGAGCTGCTCCGAGGTCTCACACACACACACACACACACACACACACACACACACACACACACTAATTATAGTTAAGCAATCAACCAAACTTCATACAAATTTATGTGTATTTAAGAAAAAATGTCTTCCTCCTCCCCACACACAGATGCCCCGCCCCTCTCCGTCATCACGACAACAGACGCTGACTCCTTCCTGAGCCCCTCGGGTCCCGTCGCCGCCCGCGCCCGAGACTCCCACAATGCGGCGCTGCAGGCCAGTAGGCTGCCCTGGTGGAGGACGCTGGGGGACGTGGCCGGCGGGGGCGTCGTTGACACGTTTAGCCCCGCCCGGGTGCTGGAGGCGGAGCTTGGAAGACTGTTTGTAGGGGGACTAAACCTTTAACCTGAAGACTTGTATACTTTAAAAAGAACAGTTCCTACTATATCCATGTTTTTATTGCATTGACCAGCTTCACCCACTAGAGGGAGCCACAGACTGAGGAGGGGGCGCTTGTTTTCCTCCTCTGTGCAGCCAGGCTCTGCTTTAACAATACTACCAGTACACATTGTACCCACTCAGTAATATCTGTCATGATTTCCCTCTACATAAAAACTATGAAACTCAAATTGTCAGAAGAGTTTTTGGTGACGTGTGCAGTGATGAGCTATCGATCGCTCTCATTGATTATTGATCTGAGCTGCCGGCTCAGTGGAGGCTCAGCTGTTACATAAGCAGCCGTCTGTGTGTCAGAGGGAAACAACTGTTAGAGAGCGACGCTGGAGTCACGCAGGTAGGACCTCTGTGTTTTACAACAAAGTACTTCTGTAAATACTTTTATCTGACGGCTACAGGTATTAAAATACTCTGTAAGAGGTGACTCTTCGAAAGAATACTAGGTATGTGTACTTTGACTTGAAACGCAGTGGTATGTGCTTCCTTCCTTCCTTCATAGGGTGTCTGAGCTCAGACTTAGAGATAGGGTGAGGAGCTCAGAGATTCGGAGGGATTGTCACCCATTATCAACATTAGAAAAATATGACAAGCAAAACAACAACAGTAGTTTATGCCTGTAGAGCATTTTTTTAATTTGAATGTAAACAGAAGCAACAAAAACAATTCTCCGTGCAGACAATATGGTCGACATCCCAACATTAACAATTCAACTAGATTATAGGGCAGAGATAGTCCTCACTTTAGATCAGGTCACACAAAATACTTTACTAACGACTAGTAACTACCTGAATTAATCATGGGTGCAGTATTAATACACGTTTATAAAGCATGTATTAACATAGTCCCTAACATCAGTGCATATCTAAATCATACATATAAATATATGAATAATGTACATCAAAATACGTTCTTAATCATTTACCAACACTTTATATATGATCTTATCAATCATCTACAACTCCTTAATAGTTGGGTTGTAATATATATAATAATTAATTTACAAATGTGGAATCCATCATTTATAAAGTATGAAAAGACAATCATGAAACACATAACAGACAAGCTTATTATTCAAGAATAAAACATGTATAACTGTTATGAAATGCATACTAATGAGTGTTAAAGTAGGAACGATGCTTAATAAATGATGAATTAAGTCTTTACTCAAACTTAACTAATGCTTCATAGTGTGTAGTTATTATAAAGTGTTACCAAATGTTTTTAATGTCAAATTATCTGTGTTTGTTTAATTTTCTGAATATTACTCTTGAATGTTCTCGTGTGTGTGTGTGTGTGTGTGTGTGTGGGTGTGGGTGGGTGGGTGGGCGGGCGGGCGGGCGTGTGTGTGTGTGTGTGTGTGTGTTGTCATGAGGACGTGGTCATGTGATCAGCTGATTCTCAGTCTGAACTCAGACGTCCGTCTCATCATCCAGCAGCCTGAGCACACCAACACACGGTGAGTTTATTCTTCTTTCATCACGTTCATTCAAATGTCTGTTTTGTGTATTTCTGTCACTGTTTGTTTTATCTTCATTTCATACATTTGTTCTTTATTTCATATTTGTTATTAGTCGTTTGATTTGCAAATTTGAAACTTGTTTCATGAAGTCGATTCGTGGCTTCCAGAAGTACTTCATATAATCTGAACATGAAGAGAGACAGAAACATTCTGACGGTTTAAACATATTCAAGTTCAATCGAGTAAATATCAGAGAGTTTCAACGTTTCGCTGCTTTCACAGTGAATTCATCAGGTTCATGTGAAGTCATCAGGGTGTGGTGAAAAACTGCAACTTTAAAAACAGACCGGCAACACAGACGAGCAACCGGAAACACAGCCTGGCTGTTCTGATTCACACCAACATTAATGCAACTGCTGCAAACTGATCAACACATTTCTGTGATATAAAGTCATCCGTTTGAATCGGAGTAAATCAGTCAAAGTAAGGTTCAATGAGACTTTAAAGGTGAAGAGAAACTTGTTGATCACGTTGATCCTTTTATTGTGTCAGGACTTTATAAATGAGTGAAGTAACCAAGACCTCACGCCACACAAACAGTTTCTTCCCGTCCGCAGTCGGGCTCATGAACAAAGCCCGGGTCCCCCACTGACTCTGTCATCCCCAGGACATTTCCTTCTGGTCTCTCCCCTGCACATCCCTGTTTCTTTATTTAAACACACTCATCACTTTAACTTTTCACTTGCACTTCACTTGTTTTACAGTCCTGTTATCTGTCTTGTTGTGCACTTTATTCTATATTTTATATTTTATTGTAAATTTTAATGTTTCTATTTCGTGCACTGTGTTGATTATTGACAGTTTAATGTTATTGTCTATTGTTAAATGTTACGCACCACCCGCCACGACAAATTACTTGTAGGTGCAAACTTCCTTGGCAATAAACGGTTCTGATTCTGATTCTGATTGAGCGAGCTCCAGCTGACCGGTTCATCCAGTGGTGAGGCTCACATGAGTGCAGAGAACTACGGTGGCCTTCAGGTGACATAAAGGCATGAAAGGCTATATTTAAAGGCTTTGGTTTGTCCCTTCTGGGCTCCTGTAGAAGCATGGCGGACTCCATGAAGAGGCTCACTATGTAAATAAGAACACAGCGGCTCTTACACAATAATAAAAACATAGTTGTGAATATTAAAATGCTCCACACTGTTCCTTTAAGTACTGGCAGTTATTTTTAAGTATTACATTTTATTTGTTTCCTTGAAATATTGAGTTTTTTTATGTTCCGTTTTTTTTCTCAAAATATTACAATTTATTCGTCAGAAGATGTCAAGCGGAATATTTTAATCTTTCTTCTGAAAATATTCCACCTTTGTGCTCACATTGTTTGAAGAACCCTGAGGAACTCGGTTACTCACTGACAATGACGTCTGACAGCAGTAACTACAGCTTTAAACAGCACTGCTCTAACTATATACTATATATATACTATACTATATACTATATCATATGTTATATACTATATACTATATATATATGCTATACTATATACTACATCATATGTTATATACTATATACTATATATATATGCTATACTATATACTACATCATATGTTAAGGTATCATCTGCTGACGACATCATCTGATTTCAGTGTGATGGAGCGTAAACTGGATCTGTCGCGTCTGTCGGACGAAGAGGCCAAACACGTCTGGGAGGTGATTCAACGAGACTTCAACCTCCGAAAGAAAGAAGAGGAGCGGCTCGGGTACGAACATCCATCTCTCGCTATATTTCATATATTTATTATATTTATTATGTTTATTACGTTCACGCTGCTTTTTACATTTCTCTCATGTCCATCGTCAGCACCTCCAGTAAATCTAATAGTCGTTGCTTCCACATAAGTTACAGATATCAATACCTTTCAATATATATATATATATATATATATATATATATACACAAATCATGCAAAATACATTAGAAAGCATGTTCTTATATAGTGTAATAAAACTGATTATTAAAGGTATTTATGTATAAAACATCTCTCAAACAGTCAACATGTAGAGCAGATGAATATGAATATGGATCCATATTGAGCGCGTTAGATAGTTTGTGAGGCGACTCGTTCTCGTGGCGTTTGGAGGAATGTGAGCGTGAAAGACGTCGTTGTTGAGGCAGTCGATCACGACTTGGTCACACGGGCGAGAGACTGCAGCAGACAACAGGAAGCTCACAAAGACGCTCTGTGTTCCGCACTAAAGACTGCAACTCCCATCAGCCCCAGGGGCAAACTCAGAGACACAGTCAGGGACTGTTGTTCTCAGCAGAGTCTGATACTTCTCATTAAACATTGAGTGTGAACTGTCTCTGGTTCTCTCTCCCAGGACACACTGAGGAGTCATTACGTCATTACGACACCGCTCAGAACAAAAGCAGCTTCTGTCCTCTGTGAACGCTCACAATCACATCTTCACCATGGAAAATCAATTTACACACAAATAATGAACTCGCTGCAAACATCAAATCTCATCCACCATTTATCACAGTGACATCATCTACTTTCTCTGTTATATGAGCTCCACCTCAAGTGACTTTAACATGTAATGTGTGTAGATCTGGTAGTAGAAGTACTGTAGTTCTGGTAGTAGAAGTACTATAGTTTGGTAGTAGATGTACTATAGTTCTGGTAGTAGAAGTACTATAGTTTGGTAGTAGATGTACTATAGTTTGGTAGTAGATGTACTGTAGTTATGGTAGTAGAAGTACTGTAGTTCTGGTAGTAGAGGTACTATAGTTTGGTAGTAGATGTACTGTAGTTGTGGTAGTAGATGTACTATAGTTCTGGTAGTAGAAGTACTATAGTTTGGTAGTAGATGTACTGTAGTTATGGTAGTAGATGTACTGTAGTTGTGGTAGTAGATGTACTGTAGTTGTGATAGTAGATGTACTGTAGTTGTGGTAGTAGAAGTACTGTAGTTCTGGTAGTAGAAGTACTGTAGTTTGGTAGTAGATGTACTGTAGTTATGGTAGTAGAAGTACTGTAGTTCTGGTAGTAGATGTACTGTAGTTCTGGTAGTAGATGTACTATAGTTTGGTAGTCGATGTACTATAGTTTGGTAGCCGATGTACCGTAGTTCTGGTAGTAGATGTACTATAGTTTGGTAGTCGATGTACTATAGTTTGGTAGTCGATGTACTATAGTTTGGTAGCCGATGTACCGTAGTTCTGGTAGTAGATGTACTATAGTTTGGTAGTAGATGTACTATAGTTTTGGTAGTCGATGTACCGTAGTTCTGGTAGTAGAAGTACTGTAGTTTTGGTAGTAGATGTACTGTAGTTCTGGTAATAGATGTACTGTAGTTTGGTAGTCGATGTACTGTAGTTCTGGTAGTAGATGTACTGTAGTTTGGTAGCCGATGTACCGTAGTTCTGGTAGTAGATGTACTATAGTTTTGGTAGTCGATGTACCGTAGTACAGACATCTAACAGGTTTATTATGATATTCAATAAAGGTTAATTAGGATCAATCTCATGTTCTGTAATGTGTTTTTTTATGATTTCCAATCATATTTATGAACCTTTACGTGTTATTGTTCCACCTCCGGTGCATCCCCAGGACAAGCCATATCGTGGTAACACTTCCTGTTGTAACATATCGTGGTTGCTCTTTCTCTCCTCTCTGGTTATCGCAGTGATTTGAAGACTCAAATCCAGAAGGAAGACACAAAGCGAGAGCTGCTGGGGTCTCAGAGTCAGCTGTCCGAGTCTCACTGTATCCGCTGCCTGCAGCCCTTTAAGTTCCTGGTCAACAGTAAACGTCAGTGTCTGGACTGCCACATGTACACCTGCAAGTCCTGCAGCCGCTACAACAAGAAGGAGCACGGCTGGGTGTGTGACAACTGCCGCATGACCAGGTGAGAGACACACAGGTAGGTCTGAGTCCTGACAGCGCAGGTAAGGAACGTATCTGTCTCAGAAACATGGTCTCAGTTCTGCTAGTAGATATACTGTGTGTACATGAAGTATTTGCTGTGTACTAATGAAGCATTTGCCGTGTACTCCTGCAGGGTGCTGAAGATCGGTACTGTGGGTTGGTACCACGACAACGTCAGGAATCGCTTCAAGCGCTTCGGCAGCGCGAAGGTGATGAGGTCACTGTACAAGAGGCTGAACGGAGACGGTGAGTGTGACATCACACGTGGTCATCAGCCTGTCAGCTGATCAGAGACCCTGAGGCTGTTCAACACCAGCTGACTCTTTCATTTCAATGATTTTTAAGTTTGTATTACTTTGTTTGTAAATTATATAAAGAAAAAGGTGTAATTGTTTTATAAATCAAATGAACATTTGGGGAAACAATATTTAATATCAAATGATGTTAAATAAGAAACCGCAGATATTCACTTGTTCATTAGATACTAGTTTATTATACTCTATTGAATATAGGAAGCATGGATTATTTATTTCTATATATTTATGTAAATATTGAAACATGATTATTACAATAATAATACATAATATCATGAGACCTCTTGTGTTTCTCCTTCAGGTGGTCGTGATGACGACACTCAGAGTATGCCAGACGTCCGCAGCAGTGAGTTGATATGACATTTGTACCTGTAGATTTGTATAATTATTGTATTTGTACCTGTAGATGTGTGTAATTATTGTATTTGTACCTGTAGATGTGTATAATTATTGTATTTGTACCTGTAGATGTGTATAACGGGATGGAGGATGACCACGGAGAAGCAGAGGTTCAGCACTACAAAGTGGTAACACAAACTTAAAAACATTCATATTTTTGAATCAGACGTGAAGCTTCAGATTTGAAGCTCTTTGTTTCTTCTTGTTTCAGATGAGGAAGAGCAAACGTCTGCTCTCTGTTCATCCGTTGGATTTCGACCCCGAAGAATATTTCCCGTATTCGCGGCGACCGTCTGTACAAGTACGTCAACAACACGTTAATTCAGTCATTACTAATATTAATGTAGAATCATGTCAAAGAGCTTCTCTGTGTTTTGTGGAGCAGATTCTGGAGGATCGAGGCTACAGGAATGATGTGGACTACGACGTGTACAACCAACGAGCGAACCGCAGGAAGAGTCTGGACCGATACGCCATGAGACCTGGTATGTGTACAAATACACACACAGTACACACAGAGTATACATAAAAGAACACACACATGTGGTTAAGTGGGTACTTTAGCTCCCAGCAGGTCAGACTGAAGCTCTCACTGGTTTGCTGTGAGGTATAGGTGAGGTGAAGGTGAGGTGAAGGTGAGGTATAGGTCAGGTATAGGTCAGGTATAGGTGAGGAGAAGGTGAGGCAGGTGATAGCAAACATAAGGTAAAGGTGAGCCATGCTAAGGGGGCAACCAACAGGTGACTGTATTCACCT